ATAGTAAGGATTGACAGATTGAGAGCTCTTTCAAGGGTAACATGTAAATTATTATTACCCAAATCAAACAAATACATCAAAGTTATATGCTTAACCATCAACATGGTTACACGCATAGGTTACAAATTACACTAACAAATACATCACACCGTAAAAACAAAGACGTACAACACATTACAACGAATCTACAATACAAACAAATGCTAAAGAACTATCCCTTCGAAGAAGCTATCAGCTCTTCTACAACACAGGGAGTCCAACATACACTAGGCCAAATACACACAAGTCTTCAATAAAGTTTACATCCACAAGGAGTCACCAGCAAGGAGTCACCAGCAGCCATCAACACTTTTCTGGTTTGCACAAGGAGATCAACAACCCCATCAGGTTAGGTGTTATAGCCAAAGTTCTCAAAAATCCCTTCGAAGGATATCATCACTTCTACAACACAGGGAAGCCAAGAAGGTACAGCCACAAACTTGTTAAACATGAAGCACACCAAATTACAAAGTCAGGGGCAGGAGCATTTAGAGCCTCTCAGCCAACACCATAAACAGCAGCTCAGTTCAATCACAATCATCATGGAGGTTCATCTTCAGAGTATCAAACAACAGCTAGTCTGAAAACTAGGTATCAAGTGGTACAACAGCCCAGGGCACACACAACTAGGTGCTACAACACCCCAGGGCACACACAACAGGTTCATCAATGCTTAAGGAAATCCATCCCAACCTCTAAACATCCATCAGAGGTTAAGGTGTTTCCAGCAACCCAGAGGTCCAGCCAGAAGGCAAATTAAACTAAGTTGCAAAAACCCAAGCACCAAGAACAGATGCCCAAAACCAGGAGCCAGGGGTTCCAAGCCATTCTAAGCTTAACCACTCAAAGGAAGAGTGTGAGTTTAGTCTGACCTGTCACCCAGAAGAAAAGCAAGAAGAGGGAGGAAGAAGGAAAGAAAGAAAAGAAGAAAGAGAAAAAGGAGAGAAGAAGGGAGGGAGGGGGGGACAAGGTAAGAAAGGAAAGGGATCCACACCAACATCTAGAGATCCAGAAGGGGTCTACAGAGGTTGATATGTCTCCAACCACCCAGTGGTCAGGCCAAAGGCCAATCAGAAACTCCAATCCAAATTTCAAAGTCCATTCCAGGGGGGGCTCCAGATCAAGACTGCCAATACCCACTCCAAGAATGAGTAGGCAAGGGTAGTTTGGTCTATCACCCAGAAATCAGCAAAGAAAGAGAGAGAAAAGAAGGGAAAAAAGAAAGGAAGAAAGTAGAAAGAAGGGAAGGAGAGGGGGGAAAGAAAAAGAGAAAGAAGGAGGAAAGAGACCCAGGACCCAACCCAAACTCTAGATATCCAGAAGGGGTATGGAGAGTTTGGCTAGTTTCCTGCCAACCCAATGGAAAAACCATCAGGGTCCCAAACCCAGCCCAAAAGTGAAAATGAGGTCCAACCTCAACCAATACCCATTCCCAACCTCAAAGGGGCATTAGGAAACAGCCTGTACATCACCTTATAAACACTCAACTTGATCTTCTGGATAGTAGAATGGACATCAACTGCAATCTGATCAAAGTATGCCCCATTCCTAAGTCTCCAGATGTGATAAACAGTGCTAAGGGTTGCCAATATGCACATTTTCTTGATGTTTGAATGAGCATGGTGAGACTTCCTAAGCCACTTGATAGCTCTGTTTAAAGTTGAGAGAGCAACATCCAAGTTGAGCCACTCCTTAACTCCATTCCAAATCTGAGCAGAGACATGGCAAGCAAAGAAGAGATGTTTTGTGTCTTCACCATCCAAGTGACAGAGGCTACAATCCCTGTTTTCCTTATCCACATAGGAGAGGTTCACCTTGGTAGGAAGTCTTTTCCTAAGGATCAGCCAAGTGGTAAAGGAAAATCTAGGGGGGATATAGGTCTGCCAAATGAATTTCATCCAAGGCTTTGGCTGATTCCTAGTTCTGAGCAGATCATATACAGTGGTGGTATTTAAATTGCCATTCTCACACATGTTCTGCAATCTGTCATGAAACCCATCAGGACCCCCAAGCTTATCCACAAAAAGATCTCTAGCAATGGACATTTTTTTGAAAAGGTGTGAATCCCCCTCCTTAGGTGTCCATGTCCACACCTCCCTATTTTGAAGGTAAACTGCATGAACCCATTTAACCCACAGAGTATCCTTAGCACAGGCAATATTCCAAAGATTTTTGATAAGAAAAGCTTGATTCCAAGTGTAAGAGTTCCACAACCCCAGCCCTCCTTCTTCAATTGGTTTGCAGATATCACTCCAAGCAACCTTAGAAAACTTACTGCCCCACAAGAAGCTTCTGCAGATAGTTGTGATTCTATTGAGAACAGTCTTATAGATAGGGAAAGCCTGAAGCCAAAAACTCTGGATCCCTTGGATTACACTTCTGATCAGTTCTACTCTCCCAGCCTGTGACAAAGTTTTAGTGTTTCACTTACATATATTGTCCTCAACCTTAGCAATAAGAGGTGCAAAGTCCCTTTCAGAGGCTCTTTGGGAAGTTAATGGTAGACCAAGGTATCTGACAGGGAGTCTTCCAAGAGGAAATAGGACCAGGTTAAGGATGTCCTGTCTATTATCCTTAACTTCTCCAGCTAGAAAAATGCTTGATTTCTGTGGATTAACTCTCAGTCCAGAGGCTTGAGAGAAGTGGTTGAGGGCATTAGCCAGGACAGTAACAGACTCAATGTCTCCTCTAGAAAACAGCATCAAATCATCTACAAAAGCAATGTGAGTAATCCCCAAGGTGGCACACAAGGAATGATGGTTAAACTTCCTCTCCTTAACCATCAATTTAAGCAATCTAGAGAGATATTCAATGCAAAAGAGGAAAAGGGAGGGAGCCATAGGATCCCCCTGCCTAATACCCCTCTTACATTTAATAAACCCATGAAGGCCTCCATTGATGGCTAAGGAGAA